AGTGACACCAGAGACGGAGGCAGAGATGGAGTCATGGAGAAGGGGAATGGCTGAGGACTCTAGATTCATGGGAAGAGAGGGACTAAGAGCTGGTGGCCAGGAGGCAGACTTGCAGAATGTGCCCTTTAGAGGTGTAAATTATTATATATGCTTGAGTGGTTTTTTTTAAAAAAAGCTAAAGGGAATACAGAGAAATACTATTAACTGATGGTACATGGAGGGGATTATAATCATTGTAATGAAACAAGGTGTATGATTTGTTAAAGTAAAACTAATGATCTGTCCTGTAAACTTTCACTCAATCCACAATAAAAACCTTTAAAAAAAAAAAGAGAGTAAACAGGGAGCTCACAGACTGCGAAAATTTTTTTTTGCAGTGACATCAAGCAAGAGCTAATACCTAAAATTTATAAAAAACTAGAACACCTCTACAAGGAAAAAACAAACCCAATTAAAAAACTGGCATAGGACATGAACAGACATTTCACCAAGGAAGACATTCAGGCAGCCAACAAACATATGAAGAAATGTTCACGATCATTAGCCCTTAGAGAGATGCAAATCAAAGTAACAATGAGATATATTTCACACCAGCATAACAGTGAAGTTAAAAAAAAAACAAATGGTGATGAGAGTGTAGAGACACTGGGACTCTCCTATATTGCTAGTGGAACTGTCCAATGGTTCAACCACTCTGGAAAATGGAAAGGTGCTTCCTTAGAAAGCTGGAAATAGAAATATCTTATAACCCAACAATCCCTCTACTTGGTATATATCCAGAAGCAATATGATCCAGGACACAAGTAGATATATGTGCACAATAGTAAAAAGGTGGAGAAAGTCTAAATACCCATCAATAAAAGAATGGATAAACAAACTCTGGTACATACACACAATGGACCATGCCACGTCGAAGAACAATAATGAATCTGTGAAACACCTCACAACATGGATGAACCTGGCGGACATCATACTGAATGAAATTGATCTATCACAAAAGGATAAATATTGTATGAGACCATGATTGTAAAAACTTTTAAGAAAATGTTTCCATACGAAAAGAAAAATTCTTTGATGGTTACTAAGGGTGGGAGGGAGGGGAGAGTAATTCACTGGCTTGAGGGTAGACACATGTTAACTCAGGTGACGACAGGGAGGGCAATATACAGGAAGAGGGAGGTTGACGAAGAATGAAGAAAACAGGTGAAGACACGGGGAGGTATGCAAGGGCTAATGGGAATCGAGGTAAATAGTGATATGTACACAACCTTGGAACAACAGTGTCTGTGCATAGACACATGGACCGAGACTGAATGGGTAAAGGAAGAAGGGTTTATATAGATATATGAGAGCTTGAAAGAGGATATTTATATATGGGTATGTACCTTTTCTGCAAACACAACTATGAATGTGGTTAAGCATATAGCAGGCAAAATGATGAAAATTTTCTAGATATTATCAGATATCTTAAGGCAATGAGTTGATAAGCCCGGGAGATCAGGACCATAGTCTCAGGGAACACCATGGGCTTAACACTGTCCACAAAGACAATATTCTAAATCCTACTTTGGTGAATAGCATTTGGTATCTTGAAAGCTCATGAGTCTAAGGTGCAGCTACTGGTCTTTCCATGTGTGGAATGAAGAAGAGTGATAAGAATAGAAAAAACTTGGAATCAATTAGACTAATGGAACACATAAGCATCAGTCTCCATGACTGAGACAGAAGAATTAGATGGTACCTGGCTACCACTACCAAGTGCTCTGAAAGGAATCATAGTACACAGATAGTAAAAGAGAATGCAGAACAACAACCAAAAAAAGACTGTGTTTACTTGCCAGAAAGAGAGTGGAGGAATCTGAGACTATGGCTCTCACCCTTGTGGCCCAGTTTTCAGCCAAGTGGTAGAAAGGTTTATAACGGGGGCAACAACAGTAGTAAGGTAAGCTCACCATGAAATGGTCAATCATTCAAAACAAAAAAGGCAACATTTTCCTAAGAACAAAGTTGAGAAGGTACAGGAAATTCAGTGGAATGTAAATAGGGAGGAAGTGCGATAACTTGCGTTGCATGGAGGGGATTGTAACCACTGAGCTGAAACAAAGTGTGGGATTTGCTGAATGTAAAGCTGATGCACTTGTCCGTAAACCTTCACTCAATTCTCAATAAAAAGTTTAAAAAATAAATAAACAAAAGTTCAAGATGGCCATGCTGCCTCAGGCTAGGCAACAGTTCACCTGTCTGTCTCTTGCTGCCATGGTTCAGCTTCTTCTTCTTCTAGTCAGTATTCAATCCACTTCTCTATGCTTTCCTCTGAAGCTCAGAGTCCTAGGATTATCATCTGTGTCTTTTTATTTGGTCGCTCATACCTGTATTGAGAGGGTCTGTGTAAAGTATCTGCCTAGTCTGCCATCTTGTGGGAAGTGTGACGAGTTAAATAAATTGTTAAAACAGCACTGAGGTTGATATTTTTTTTCTCTTGTCCCAATCTGATCTTGGTTTAATCTATTTTGTTTGTGATGTTCCTTCTCGTGAACACTTGACTTTAATCCCACATAGCAAAGGACCTGGCTCTATGGGTACATTTCTTGAAAGCCAAAAAGAGAATCAAGCCAAACCCATGGTCATCAAGTTGCATCCGGCCCCTTACAGTTACTTATAGGACAGAGGAGACCTGTTCCATAGATTTCCAAGGATGTACATATTTTACAGGAGCAGAAAGTCTCATCTTTCTCCCATGAAGCAGCTTGTGGGTTTGAACCACCAAGCTTGTGGTTAAAAGCCCAATGCTTAATCCATTACACTACCAGGGCTCCTACACATCTTGAACAGATATATAAAAACTATTTCAAGAAAAATGAAGAATTAGAATCCCAAGCCTTCATTGAACACTCACCTGCTTACTTGATACCTATTTACTCAACAAATACTGCAGGGCTTGTACTGTGACAGGCTTATACTGGGGTTGTTGTTGTTAAGTACCATTGAGTCAGTTCCAACTCACAGTGAACCTGATAGGATTTCCAAGGTGTGGCTGGTGAGTTTGAACCGCTGACCTTGTGGTTCAAACGGACCTTGAGGTCCAGTGCTTTATCCCACAGTGCCATCGTGGGGTATCCAAGGTAAATCAAGTCATCCTTGCACACTGGCAGAGAAGACAGATATGTATATAATAATAAGACCTCACATCAGAGTTATCCACCTAGGGTTCCACATAAATAGAACTACTGACACAGGAGTGTTCCTCACTTCTGCCAAAAAGGACATAAATTTTCAGAAGACAGACATAGTTTACATTCAACCAGTACAAGGCAAGTACTGGATGGCTAACTATAAGGTTGGTGGTTCAAACCTACCAGCTGCTCCTTAGAAACCCTATACACGGTTGCTATGAACCAACTCAATGCCACTTAACAACTCATGCCAAGTATTGTTTTGGAGGTTGGGGACAAAGCAGCAAGTACACCAAAATCTTTGTCCTCATTATGCTGACATTGTACTGGGCGAGAAAGACAATAAACATTGCAAATAATATCTGTAATATAGTAGACCATGAGACGAAGAGAAAAACAATGCAGGGGAAGGCATAGAGCATGAGAAGCTACAGTTTTAGACAGAGTGGCCAGGGAAGGCTGCACTACCCGGATGCCATCTGAATAAAGACCTGCAGAAAGTGCTGGCGTGAACAGTGCAGATACTGCAGACAGGAAGAGCAGAGCGGGCAGGCCTGCTTCTCCCTTTGATTACAACATTTGCCCTCCTTCTGCCTTACAGGGTAGCTATGCTCGCTAGGCAGGCTGTCCAAAAGGAGAACAGAAAGTGTCAGCAGCGTGGGAAAGAGGAGGGAAGTTGCAGGAAACAACAGTGGAGTCTCTGTTCCTCTCCAATTTTTCTCTGAGCTACTGTGGACAGCCAAGATCACACAGAGTACCATCTGGTTGCCTTGTTAAACAAAAACAACCAAATTTCTCCTCAAAATACTTTCCTAACATGAGTACAGTTCAAAATCATCCTTTTCTAGATGCACCAAAGATGACATTCAGAAGAGAGAAGGTAGAATAAGGCCTTCAGTGTCTCCAGGGCCCAAGTCTGAGCCACCCAAGTGTGAGGAGCCTTGTGGATAATGGTGATGATGTGCAGCTCGGGGCATCCACACATTCAATGAGTCCCAGAAAGCCACCCTTAATCTGTCTTTATTTGTTACCTTGGATCTCTGTCCTTTCTCCTCATTTTCTTAGGACTTTATCAAGTTACCTGAGTTCTACTTGGTTTTAGGTTTGGATTTTTTTTCAAAATCCACGACAAATTTAGAACACATATATAAATATTAAAATTTTGTCCATGGTGAAGATGGACATTTCTGTTACTTTGGAAAAGAACCAAAAAAAAACCCGATTAATAGGTAGCTATTAAATATCTGCTAATAGTGTTAATTATGTGGAGAGGGGCTAGGAGTAAGCAACGATCCCTTAAAAACTGAAATATGAGGGAAATGAATTTGCTCCTTGAGAAGCACACTGCATGATCTAAAGAGTAGATGAGGGTCAAGGATATACACATTTTATTTCTACCACTTAATTATATGTCTTTTACATATTAAGGTTTAGGTGATTTTCCCATTAATGTTGGTTTGCTTAACAGAGTTTATTTTATTTTCCCTACGTGATTTAGGAATTCTACATACTATTTTTTCCTACTACTTAAATTTAATAATACAAAGGAGGGACTTCAAAAAGTTTGTGGAAAAATGGGATTAAAAGATACTGGAATTTTTCCACGAACTTTTTCAAGTCCCCTTGTATTTTAAACCTAGTTAGCCAAAATCAAGAATGGCAGTGAGGCCCTTAACACCGGTTACTCTCCCTCTCCGTCTCCCCGCAGTGCTGGGACCACTATCGACTACTGCTGCTGTTTCGTTATTATTACTCCTCCAGACCTTGGCTCCTGTACTGTCTTTTATCATCACTAATAAATGAGAAATAAGTCGTATCACTACATACCTTGACGGGACTATCATTGTACAGCCAAGCAAGAAAATTTGTGGAGTTCCAGTAAGTGTCAGGACATTCCCACTCTCCATCTGACCAAATCAGGTCAGGCTTGTACCTGACAGACATGAGATTAGGACAAAGAGGATCACCTGAACGCAGTTACAGTAAAGGCTTGTGAACTGAGTTTGCAACATCTATTTTTTTTTAAAATTTTTATGCATAGCTTTTTTTTTTTTTTAAACTGTGGTGAAAATATACACACCAAAATATCTGCCAAGAAAGTAACTTTCACATTTACAATTCTATGAAACTGCAGCAAATATTTAAAAATTAATATAGCACCCCATTTTGAAAGTCATGTAAAATTACCATAATACAGCAAATGTGAAAAACTGGATAATCAAACAAGAACAAAGCAATAAAATCCATTTTGTTAACATAACCATTACTAGTACAAACACAGCGTTTTGGTCTATTTTCTCTTAGTATTTTTCTTGAGAAAGGAGGCCTGGTGGAGCAGCAGTGAAAGCGCTTGGCTGCTACCTGAAAAGCTGGCAGATGGAAGCCACCAGCCATTGGATGGGAGGAAGATATGGCAGTCAGTTTCCTCCCATAACTATGTACAGTCTTGAAAAGCCTACAGGGCAGTTCTACTCTGTCCTGTAAGCTCACTAGGAGTGGGAACTGATGGGATGGCAAGGGATTTAGCTTTTTCTTTACATCCTTTTAGAAAATGAAGTTGGAATCAGTTTACATTGATTTCCTTCCAGCATGTAACTGCAATGACAGTGGTGTTGTTGCAAAACTCTGGGACAAAGGTTTCTGCTTTCACGATGTGTTCAGAACTTGAATCATTCCCCTAAATGCATTAAGAAAATAAGTACTCAAAGCTTCTACACTAAAGCATCTATAAAATCCACCCGAGCCTCCATCACATATGTATTATTGTTTTTGTTAGGTGCCACTGAGTTGGTACCGACCCATAGCGACCTTCTGCACAGTAGAACGAAACACTGCCCGATCCTGGGCCAACCTCACTATTGTTGCCACCCTTCAGTCCATCGATGCTGCCACTTGGCCAGTCCATCTCATTGGGGGTCTTCCTCTTTTTCTCTGACCCTCCACCTTACCAAACATGATATCCTTCTCCAGTGACTGGTCCCTCCTGACAATATGTCCAAAGTATAAGAGACGAAGTTTGGTCATCTTAGCCTCTAAGAAGCACTTTGGCTGCACTTCTTCCAAAACGGCCCTGTAAGGCAAGGCAGGTGGAATCCTGGTATGGCACTGCAGGATCGGGACTGGATGACAAAACACAAGGTCAGTAGTTCAAACCCACTAGCTGCTCCTCGGAAACCCTATACAGGGTTGCTATGAGTTGGAAATGACTCAACAACACTCAACAACACTTAACAACAACAAAAAATAAGGCAGACATTATAATTCCCATTTTTAGAGCATGAGAATGTGAGGTTCAAAAGGATGATCTGTTTTAGGTGATGATGCCTGTAAGTACCAGGAGCTGGAAAGGAAATGCAATCTGCTGGATGCCAAACCTATTATGCTGGGCTTCATAATCAGGACAGTAAATAGATTCCAGGAAAAAGATGGCCATTTGAAGTGGCAAGAATCTACACAGCCAGGAAGAAAAACAAAAGGAAAAACACCAGAGAGTACTGCCTGGATCCAGGCCTCTGCTGTCTCTGAGTGTGCTGCAAGCTCCTCAGAGAAACTATCTTGATAGAATCTGCATATAAGGAGGTTTGTTTTTTTGGTCTAAAATGAATGTCAGGCAGAAGTGGCTGCCTCTTCAGTTTTAAAGGCCAATCATCCTCAGTGAGCATACAGAAGGGCAAATGAGGGTGAAAACATCATGAAGACTGGTGCCAAATCCCAAGTGAAAGTTGTCATTTTAAGAATTACGATGATATGACTTCTGACAAGATGGCAGACTAGGCAGATTGCTACATGGACCCTCTACAACAAAGAGATCAAAATGAAACAGACACAGATGAAAATCCTGGAACCCTGAGGAAAGGTTAGAGGAGTGGATCGAGTGCTTGCTGGGAGGTGAATTCTACCAAACATTCAGAGAGGAGATGACGTCAATTCTACTCAAACTATTACAGAATATAGAAAAGGATGGAAAAGTCCTGAATTTATTCTATGAAGCAAGCATAGTACTGATACCAAAACCAGGGAAAGACATCACTAAAAAAGAAAACTACAGACCAATATTACTTATAAACATAGATGCAAAAAACTTAACAAAATCCTAGCCAATAGAATCTAACAATATATCAACAACAAAACAAAACCCAGCATGGGACTCAAATAAGGCTATGTGGGATGGTTCAACAATAGAAAAACAACCAACATACTCCACCACATAAATAAAACAAAAGGAATAAACCACATGATCATAGCAACTGATGCAGAAAAGGCATTTGACAAAATGCAACACTCATTCTTGATTTAAAAACACTCAACAAAATAGGAATAGAAGGGAAATTCCTCAACATACTTAAGGGCATATATACAAAACCAACAACCACCATCACTCTCAACAATGAGAAACTGAAGCCATTCCCCTTGCTCTCAGGAACCAGATAAGGATGCCCTTTATCACCACTTCTATTCAATACTGTGCTGGAAGTCTCAGCCAGAGCTGTAAGGCAAGAAAAGGAAATTAAAGGCATCCAATTGGCAAAGAAGTAAAACTCTATTTGTAGACATGATTCTATACTTAGAAAATTCCAGAGTCAGCAAGAAAATTATTGGAACTTAATGATAAGATTTGGCAAAGTGGTAGGGTACAAGATTAACACCAAATAAATCAGCTGGATTCCTTTACACTAATAAAGGTGATGGTGATTGGTTGTGAACCACTGAGTTTGTTCTGACCAATAGCGATCCTGCATAGGGTTTCTGAGGCTATAAATCTTTACAGGAGCAGAAAGCCTCATCTTTCTCCTGGGGAGTGACCAGCAGATTTGAACTGCTGACCTTGCGTATACGCTCCTTACACTAATAAAGAAAAGACTGAAATGGAAATCAGCAAAACAATGCCATTTACAATAGCCACCCCAAAGATGAAATACCTGGGAATAATTATAACTTGAGAAACAAAGAAAACTATAAAACACTACAACAACAAACTAAAAGAGACCTGTAGAAATGGAGAAACATATCATGCTCATGGATAGAAAGACTAAACACTGTAAAGATGTCAGCACTACCCAAAGCAATCTATAGATATAATGCAATCCCAATCCAGAATCCAACATCATTCTCTAGAGAGCTGGAAGAACTAACATTTATATGGAAAGGAAATAGACCTCAAATAAACAAAGCATTATTTAAAAAAACAGCAAAGTAAATGATATAACTAAAGACTTGTTGCTGTTGTTGTTATGTGCCGTGGAGTCAGTTCCGACTCATAGCGACCCTGCACAGGGTTTCCAAGGCTGTAAATCTTTATGGGAGCAGAAAGCCTCATCTTTCTCTCACAGAACAGCTGGTAGTTTCGAACTGCTGACCTTGTGGTTCACAGCCCGATTCATAACCACTACGCTACGACTACTCTCTAAAATTTAGGAACACTTCGATGCCTCAACAAAATGACAAATAATCCTATTAAAAATGGGCAGATGGGGGGGCAGGCTTGCAGGGTGTGTCCTTTGGTTGTTTGAAAGATTGTATATTACTGAGTGTTTGGGTACATCCAAAAAACAAAAACAAAAAAAACCAGAGGGAATATTGTTGAATGATGATGCATGGAGGGGATTGTAATCATTGCAATGATTACATAACAACCTTATTATGTACAAGCCACTATGACAGTGACTTTTAACATACTATTCTCAGACCTACAGGAAGGCATTATTAGCTCCATTTTATAGGGCAGGAGAACCAGAGACACATTTAAGGTGATGAAGCTCATTAAGTAACAAAAGCTGGAGCTCCAAATGACAATCTGCCCAATGCCAAATCCTATATAGTATCTATTTATGGTGTGATCGATTGAGTTTACATAACCTTGCCTTGGTCTAGTAATTGCCACCAAATGATCGGGTGTGTGGTGTGGTTATGTACCGTGGAGTTGATTCCGACTCATAGCGACCCTGTACAGGGTTTAGTTGTTAGTAGTATAATCATTATTATTATTATTTTTTTTAACTTTGTATTGCGAATTGAGTGATAGTTTACATGAGAGAACATCAGTTTTACACTTAACATATTTCATTTCATTGTAAATCTTTATGGTAGCAAAAAGCCTCATCTTTCTCCCACGGAACAGCTGGTAGTTTCCAACTGCTGATCTTGTGGTTTGCAGCCCGATTCGTAACCACTATGTTGGGTGGGACTATGCAAATGAGGTGCTTGTGGTCCACCAAGCGTATCAGCTAGCTTGCTAATAATGCAACTAAAGTACATGGCACTCTTGTGAGGGTGACCATGTAAATAAAGCTTATGGAACCCCAACAAAGGGATTGGTCCATTTTGTTATTCCACTAGGCAGAAAATGAGCCATCCTAGATGCCTCGTGGCTCCATACAATTAAGCACTGGACTGTGAACCATAAGGTCTGCAGCTTGAGCCCATCAGTTGCTCCGAGGGAGAAAGATGAGGCTTCCTGCTTCCTTGAAGATTTAAAGTTTCAGAAACCCTACAAAGAGTTGCTGCGACTTGGAACCAACTCAATGGCACTTAACAACACAGATGCAGAGGGGGAACTTCACTGCCCTTAAGAAAGGGACAGAAATGGTGTCCCCCAAACTCAGGGTCCCTGTACTGAGAACCTCCTAGACCCAGGAGACAAAGAAAGCTATAACATCAAAGATTCATAAAATGGTGAGAAGCAGCAGCTGATAAGTAGTGGCACCAGAACCAGCAGAACTGTGTGAGGTGGAGCAATGGGCTTTACAGGTGGTGGCTGAGTCCTGGTGTGGGGCAGTGAGTTAATGCACTGGACTGCCAAGTCGGTTTGAACTGCCAACCTTGATTCTCTTTCCCCTCTTGTGACATTAGAAGAGGAATTTACACAATTCTGCCCCCACACTATTTTGACATCATAAGACCAGGCTGTCTCTCTTCAGGTACCAACAAAGGGAAAACAGAAAAAGAAAGAACTGTCATTTTGACTTACTACCATCCAGGGTTTTGTTTGACTGTTTTAATTATAAAGGCAATATGGTCACATAACAGCTTAGAAAAGTGGGTGGGAGGAGTCATATTTTATCTTCATATAACCACCACTTCTATTTTTTTTTAAATCTTCTAGATGTTTTCCATATGTCTTTTTTACCTCCTCCCCGCCATCATCCTATGTAACATACCTCACAAGAGGCTCTGATTTCACTGATAAATGTCACAGGCCAAAACGATTTGTTGCTTACCTATTCACAAGATCATATAGCTCTGGCATTGTTTTTGAACTCACAAAATACTGTGTCTTGAAGCCATTCTTCTTGTCAAGTAAGTAGAGTGGATGGAACCATTCTAAGAGAGAATGATAAAGTCCATAGCTCATGTTCCTTGAACAGAAAAACAGAATGGCATGTGTTATTAAGCAAAGAAAAACCAGCTTATCTTAAGTTCTAGCATTTTCACATCTCAATGAAAGTCACCCATAAGGGAATGGAAGGGCATGGGATCCAAAACCCTTCCCTCAAATCATCTCTTACCATTCACTTAAGGAGAAAAGATTGGGTTTATGGTGTTTTTGAAAATACACACAATTCTTTATTCATGAATATTTTAAGACTAAGATGTTATTTAAACCAATTTTTAAAGTCACCTGTCTTCATAACTGATATAGTTCTACTTAAAAATAAAAGTTCTCTGTCAATTATGAAAATGCATATTGTACTTGGAATATAGAAACTGGAAAATAGAGAAAAATATAAAGAATGAAATATCCAAAATCCTATCCTCAGAAACAATCATTACTAAGATTTTCTACATAGTTGATGATAGGTTTCTTGAATATAGGTTTGTTATTTTATTTACCCTAGATTTACTGATCTCTTTCACACTGGAAGAGAGCAATATTTGTGCCTATTCCTAACCCAACAGAATATGGAAATTACTGAACAATATCAATAGTATCACATACAAGTAAAATTTTGCTAAAGACATTGCAAAAACAAACAAAAAACGTCGCAGCAATATAGATAGGGTCAGAATTTCAAGCTGGATTCAGGTGTGGCATGGAATGAAGGCTATCATTGCTAATATCAGATGAATCTTGGCTGAAAGCAGAGAAAATCAGAAAGACGTTTACCTGTGTTTTACTGCTAAGAAAAGGCACTGTGCAGATCGGCACTGTGAGGATCATAACGAACTACGGATAACATTGCAAAGGATGGGAATTCCAGAAGACTTAATTGTGCTCATGTGGAACCTATACATACACCAAGAAGCAGTTATCAAACAGAAAATGGGAATAGTGCATGGTTTAAAATCAGGAAAGGTGTATAATAGGGTTGTATCTTTTTACCATACTTATTTAATCTGTATGCTGAGCTAATGATCTGAGCTGGATAATATGCAGAGGAACATAGCATCAGGATCAGAAGAAGACTCATTAACAACTGCAATGTGCAGAAGACAACCCTGCTTGCTGAAAGCAAAGAGGACTTGAAGCACTTACTGATAAAAATCAAAACTACAGCCTTCAATATGGAACACAAAGTGACAGAAAGAAAGCAAAAATCCTCACAATAGGACCAATAAGCAACATCATAAAAAATGGAAGTTGTCAAGGAACCTGTACATAGATCCAGAGGCAGTTGTTAGTATAGAACAAGGGGATACTAAATTATTTCAAACCATGACAGGTGTGTGCCAGGGTTGTAGCCTTTCATCATGCTTATTCAATCAGTATGCTGAGCAAATAATTTGAGAAGCTGGATTATATGAAGAAGAATGTGGCATCAGGATTGGAGGAAGACTCATTAACAACCTGCAATATGCAGATGACACAACATTGCTTGCTGAAAGTGAAGAGGACTTAAAACATTTAATGATGACGATCAAAGACCATAGCATTCTGCATGGACTGTACCTCAATACAAAGAAAACAAAAATCCTCACAACTGGATCAATAAATAAAAACATTGAAATTATCACAGAATTCATTTTTCTTAGCTCAACCATCAACACTCATGGAAGCAGCATTGAAGAAATCAAACGATGTATTGTATTAAGTAAATCTGCTGCACGAGACCTCTTTAAAGTGTTCAAGAGTAAACATGTCCGTTTAAGAACTAAGGTTCGTCTGACTCAAGCCAGGGTATTTTCAACGGCCTCATACGCATGTGAAAGTTGGCCAATGAATAAGAAAGACTTGAGGAGAACCGACCATTTGAATTATGGTATTGGTGAAGAATACTGAAAGTATTGTGGACTACCAGAAGAACAACAAATGTGTGTTGGAAGCAGTACAGCCAGAAAGCTTCCTAGAAACAAGGATGGTAAGACTCTATCTTTTGTACTTTGGACATGTAGTCAGGAGAGACCAGTCCATAGAGGATATCATGCTTGGTAAAGTGGAAGATCACTGATAAAGAGGAAGCCCTTCAGTGTGATGGATTGACACACTGTAGCAGTAACAATGGACTCAAACATAACAACTGTGAGGATGGGACGGGATTGGGCAGTGTTTCTTTCAGTGTGTTGTACATCGGGTCTCCATGAGTCGGAACTGCCTGGATGACACCTAGCAACAATAACAACATGAGTTGCATCCAGTCAGAAGACCTGAGTTCAAATTCTAGGGCTGTTATTTCCTAGCTCTTTGATCTTGGGAAGTTACTTCCTATTAAATGACAAAATCAAGCATTATTCATCAGAATCTGAACTGTGTGCTTCCTTATCACACTTTCTGCTGCTGTAAATGCCTTTTTTGGTTTCCTACTCAACCTACCAGAGTCCTGGTGTGGCACTGCAGGATAAGCACAGGATTGCTAACCACAAGGCTAGCAGTTCAACTACATCAGCCACTCCCTTGGAATCCCTCTCTACACAGGGTCACTATGAGTTGGAACCAACTCAATAGCACTTAACAACAACAGCTCAACCACAATGTTGGAAGTTCGAATCTACCAGCCACTCCTCATAGGAAAACTATGAGGCTTTCTGCTCCCACAAATACTTGCAGCTTTGAAAACCCTATATAGGGTCATTATGAATTGGAACTGACTTGAAGACACTTTACAATTTAATCTACCACTCATACATACTTTCCCTGGATGCCTATTCAGCTCTGTGCTGACTACTAAGGCCTCCATGGAATACAGGACCCCGACTGGTAAGGCTCCTGGGTCGGGAGATTCCCAGAGGGACTCCTTTGCAGACTACATGTGGAGCACCAGGGTCTGTGCTGGGCACCTTCCACCCAACCAGACTCTACCATGAACAATGTTATCCTTGGCCATGTGAAAACTGTCAAGTTTCAAACGTGGCTATTTCAAAGGCCAGAAGCCCTTCAGGTGATCTTAATTCCTTGCTAAATGCAAACATAGAAAAAGAAGAAAAAGTATGGAGCCCAGGATGGCTAGATCAAAAGAGGTAACAGAGTAACTGTTCTCAGACACACACCTCTTCCGGAGAGCTGTCCCTAGCTCCCCAACCAAATCACGATGGGGTCCCACATCCTGAGAGTTCCAGTTCCAAGACACAGGACTCGGCCAGTTTGTGAAGCCTTCATGATGCTTTGTGGTCAGGACTACATACCTGTGGACATAAAAACAGGGGAGCAGAGGAAGTAAGTAAGCAAGCTCCTGCCCAGCATTCCTGAGGTTCTTCCAATGGCTGGAAAATGACGACAGGATTATTAGTGACCATGTCAGTTATGGCTGGGAGGCACTGTAATCACAAGTCCCCAGGGATATTGCTCCAGGAATGGGAGCAGACTTGAGGAAGTCACAGTGCTTTGTCCCCAGCCAAGGAGGCCAGGAGGGAAGGCAGGAGAAAAGAAGTGAACCTTAGCTCTCAGGTTCTCCAACCCTTCCGAGTATACAAAATTAACTGTTTAACCCTTTGCCTCAGTAGAAAGAGATCTCTTTGTAAACAGCAGATGATAGAAAATGAAAGTTCTTTGCTTTATCAACCCGATATAAATGGAGTCTCATTTAGAGGTGACAAAGGATTAAAAAGAGCTGGGGAGAAAAGACAAGTGCTGTGATAACAATCAAATCCTTCAAAGTGTCACTTGCTTTTGGCAGACAAACAGGTATTATGTACATGTGATAATATAATAATCGGTGGTTAGTATTGGGAACTCTAGAAGTTTAAAAAGAAAAGCTAGGAAAATGATCATGTGACTGATGTGGTCTGAGGAACAGCCTGACACCATCATCACAAATTCAAAGCCTTTTAGGATTTGCCCTCTTTTACTGTAGCAGAGGGACTGGCAAACTTTTCCGCTAGAGGACAGGGAGCAAGTAGTGTAGGCTTTGCAGACAACATCCAGGAGCCCTGGCTAAAGTGCTGAGTGCGATTCAGAAGATCAGCGGTTTGAACCTACCAGCCACCTAGAAAGCTGTGGCAGTCTGCTTCTGTGAAGATTTACAGTCCCAGACACTCTATGGAAGCAGTGCTACTTTGTCCTGTAAGAACACTACGCAGTGGAATGGACTCCACAGATGTGCCTTGGGTTTTAGGCAACATTAGTTTCTGTGGCATATATATATAGTTTTGGTTAAATCTATCTATCTATCTATCTATCTATCTATCTATCTATCTATCTATCTATCTATCTATCTATTTTAACAGCCCTCTAAAAATACAAAAGCCTTTCTTACTTCACGGGCCTTACCAAAACAGGCCAAGTACCAATTCCTAAAGCCATAGAGTTTGCAGACCCTACGGCACCTTTGTAGTGCAGAGAACCTTCATCTCGAGATTTGGAGTCTAGGATCTTTGGTCCCTTCCTCTTTCTGGGCCAGGCACCTTGTCCAGAGTAATACAAGGGACATTCCCCCTGGATACAGAATGTCTCCCAGATTTTAATTGTTTTCATTTGTAAATTACGGATTTCTAAAGGAGTCCTGGTGTGGCATTTGTAGGATCAGCACTGGACTTTGAACCACAAGGTCAGCCGTTTAAACCCACCAACTGCTCCTCAGAAACCCTATACAGTGTCACTATGAGTCAGAACAGACTAAATGGCATTTAACAAAAACAACAACGGAGTCCTAGTGTGGTGCTGCAGGATAAGCAATCAACTGCGAGGTTGTCGGTTCAAACTCACCAGCCATTCCTTAGAAACCCGATTCCGGTCATCAGGCGTCAAAACTGACTTAAAACAACAATAAAGACCCCTGGTAGTGCTTTAGGATGAGCACTGGACTGCTAACCAAAAGACTGGCAGTTCAAATCCACACAGTGGCTCCATGGAGAAAGATGAGGCTGTCTGCTCCTGTGAAGATTTAGACTCGGAAACTCTATATAGGGTCTCCATGAGTCAGCATTGACTTGATGGTCATGGGATTGGTTTTGGTAAGGGCCCTAAAGGTTGGCCCCAGGGTGGCTCAACCAGCTTGTACTCAACTACTAATATAAAGGTTGGTCGTTCAAATCTATCCAGGGACACCATGGACAAAAGTCCTGGCAATCCACTTCTGTGAAGTGGCGCAGTTATATGTTGTAACAGATGTGGTCACCATGAGTCAGAAGCATCTGTCTGTGTGTGTGTATATCCCTAGAAGACAGAGAAGAGTCCTTTAGTGGTACAGAACAGTTAAAACCTCAACTACTAGCAGAAAGGCTAGCAGTTCAAACCCACCCAGAGGCATGATGGAAGAAAGACTTGGCAATCTACTTCCAAAAGGCCACAGACTTGAAAACTCTATGGAGAAGTTCTAGTCTGAACACATGGTGTTGCTATAAGTTGGAAGTGATTGGTCGCAATAACAACAAAAGGCAGAAAACACTTCTGTGTATTCTCGAGTCTTAAATTCCCATGCATTTAGTGGGAAACACTAAATGCCAAGAGTAATTTCTTTTCAATTTAAGAGATATATAAACTAAGGCTCTGAAGATGATTGAGGACCAAGGTATGAATGGAAATTGGCTCTAAGCCCAAAGTAGGGAACCCTCCCTGCCTCCATTCCTACTCTCCTACAACCAACTTCCTTCCCAACAGCCAAACTGCTCCTACTAGGAGCTGAGTTGTTATTGTGTGCCATCAAGCCAATTCCAACTTTATCTTACAGAGATTCCTAGCTGGACAGTGAATAAAGAAGACCGTAGAAGAATTGATGCTTTACAGTTATGGTGCTGGAGGAGAATATTGAAAGTGTCATGGGCTGCCAAAAGAACAAACAGATCTATATTGGAAGAAGTGCAGCCAGAGTGCTCCTTGGAGGCCATGATAGCCATACTTCATCTCTCAGACTTCGGACATATTGTCAGGAGGAACCAGTCGCTGGAGAAGGATATCGTGTTTGGTAAGGTGGAGGGTCAGAGAAAAAGAGGAAGACCCCCAGCAAGATGGATTGGCAAAGTGGCAGCATCAATGGGCTCAAGTGTGGCAACAATTGTGAGGTTGGCCCAGGACAGGGTAGTGTTTCATTCTGTTGTACATCGGATCGCTATGAGTCGGTACCGACTCGATGGCACCTAACAACAACAATCTTCATGAGATCATTTTGCCAGGTCTTATCTCTCTCAGAGTGGCTGGTGGGTTCAAACCACTGACCTTTTGGTTAGTAGCTAAATGGTTAACCATTGTGCCTCAAGGGATCCTTGCAGCTGAGAGTAAACATTCTTTAACTTAACCATCAGCAACATATTGCCTTCAAGGAGTATTCCTTTATGACTGCCCTATGAGCCTTCTTATCAATGGAGAAAAGATTGAAGTTGTCAAGGACTTCATTCTTCTTAGATCAACTATCAACACTCACGGAAGCAGCAGTCAAGAGATCAGACGACGTATTGCATTGGGCAAATCTGCTGCACAGGAACTTTTTAATGTATTGAAGAGCAGAGATGTTAGCTTGAGGACTAAGGTGCACCTGACACAAGCCATGGTATTTTCAATAACCTCATATGGATGTGAAAGCTGGACAGTGAATAAGGAAGATCGTAGAAGAATTGATGCCTTTGAGTTGTGGTGTTGGAGGAGAATACTAAAAATGCCATGGACTGCCAAAAGAACCAATCAATAGATCTGTTTTGGAAGAAGTGTAGCCAGAGTGCTCCTTGGAGGCCAGGATGGCTAAATTTCGTCTCTCATACTTTGGACATATTGTCCGGAGGAAACAATTGTTGGAGAAGGATGTCATGCTGGGTAAAGTGGAGGGTCAGAGAAAAAGAGGAAGACCCCCAACGAGATGGACTGGCCAGGTGGCATCATTGATGGACTCAAGTGTGGCAGTGGTAGTGAGGTTGGCCCAGGATCGGACATTGTTTCATTCTGCTGTGCGTGGGGTCGCTATGAGTCGGTTCCGACTCGATGGCACCTGACAACAACAAATGAGCTGTGGGGTGGCGCTGCAGAATAAGTACTGAAATACCAACTGCAAAGTTGGTGGCTCAAACCCACCAGCTGCTCCCTGGAAACCCTATACAGGGTCACTGAGTCAGAACTGACTCCACACCACTTAACATGAACAACAACAGGAGTTTTGGTGTGGCACTGTAAGATAAGCACTGGATTTCTAACCAAAAGGTAGACAGATCAAACTCACCAGCCACCCCCTGGGAACCCTATACAGGGTCACTATGAGTCAGAGTCAACTGTATGGCACTTAACAACAACAAGCCTTCCATAACCTCAAGGTTCTTGTCTCCCTCTCCCCTAAGCAGGAGTGCTTCAGACTCTTTCCGTTCCCTGTACAGTGCCAGTAGTTCTCAAGACAGTTCAAACATGGCTTGAACACCTTATATATGCAGGCCAAGGAGAGGAGTAGATGTAATTTGTGCTGTTTGCCAAACACTCCAGAATGCCCTTCTCTCCCTTTCCATCCCATTATATTTGAGCTGAAAGGAACTGGGACAATTCCTTCTTATTACTAACCATGAAGACTGCAAGGCGGTGGGGTGATTTCTCCAAGGCCGGTTCACAGTTGAGGTAGGACCAGAGTTCATACCACTACCTTACAAACCTGGAATCCTGACCATCTTGTCAGCCTGAGATGGACATCCTCTCGAGCTAAAGGTATAGATACTGAGGGCTTTCGGGGTCACCTCCTCCCTGAAACGTTTGTTTTCCACTCCCCAAGAAGACACACCTTCTACTTCTCAATTCAGCATCCTTCAGGAAGCAAAAGCCAGGACTGGAGGTTATATTTCAGCTAGGCACACAGTCCCCGCCCCATCTCCTGCTGCCCAGGCCTGCGGGGAAGGGTGTCCCCGCGCACCCCGAGACCTCACCTGGCTCCCGCCGCCCGGAAGAGGTCGGCCCAGTGCTCGGGGTCGAAGAAGGTGGCCGTGAACTGCGGCCCGAAGTCGGCGTAGCTGAAGCCGGGCGGGTAGTTGTTCCTCATGAAGAGCTCGTACAGGACCTGGTGCTCACCCTTCCAGTGCCACCAGAACCACTCGCTGCCCCAGGCCGGCACCGAGTACACGCCCCAGTGCACAAACACCCCGAACTTGGCCTCGTCGTACCAGGCCGGCAGTGGCCGAGCGTCCAGACTCGTCCAGTCCGGAGTGTAGCGGCGATAAGTCCTATGTCCCCGCCGAGATCCGTGCCTCGACTTGGCTGCTCCGAGAACCAGTAGCAGAAACAGCGTGAGACCAACTACCTGCCACCGCATCTTGGTGGTACACAGTGCGGACCGTGCGTCACCGCCCCCCTTTTAACGCGCAAGTGCGGGGCGCGAGGGCTTCACTCACTCCGGCAAATGATTGGCTCGGAAGGAAGTAAAGGGGCGGGTCAGCCCGGATTCCTAGGCTACAGATTCTCTTCCTCTCCCTATCGGCCGTTCCTGCAGCGCCCTCTGGCGCTCAGAGATAGACAGACGCAAAG